GGGCCCCTCTGCCAACGAAGGGCTCAGTGGTGAAGGGCACAGGAAGTGTGGGGGTTCCATCCCGCGCCCACCTGCCCTTGGCCATGGCCTCCCGGGGCTGCAGCCTGGGTCGGGAGAGTCTGAGAGTGCTGGGGAGAATCCTGGCACAGCCGGAGCTCCAGAGGAGCGCGAATGGCAGCATAGCCAGCGCGGGCGCGTGCAGGGTGACCTCGGGGGCCTCTGGGAGAAGAGCAAGCTCTTGTGTGGCTGGACTTGGGCTCTTGGGGGGCTTTGAGTCACCGAACCTGGCTGTTTTCACCCCATCCCTGGGGCCTGCGGGACGTACGGGAGGCTGGTGCTGGGGTCTGCTGGACGTACGGGAGGTGGGGTGCTGGGGTCTGCGGGGCGTACGGGAGGCGGGGTGCTGGGACCTGTGGGGCGTACGGGAGGCGGGTGCTGGGGCCTCCAGGGCGTATGGGAGGTGGGTGCTGGGGTCTGTGGGGTGTACGGGAGGTGGGGTGCTGGGGTCTGTGGGCATACGGGAGGTGGATGCTGGGGTCTGCAGGGCATACGGGAGGCGGGGTGCTGGGTCTGCGGGGCGTACGGGAGGCAGGTGCTGGGGTCTGCGGGGCGCAGGGGAGGCGGGTGCTGGGGTCTGTGGGCGTACGGGAGGCGGGTGCTGGGTCTGCGGGGCACAGGGGAGGCGGGTGCTGGGGTCTGCGGGGTGTATGGGAAATCGCATTTCAACACAAGCTTTGGAGGGGCCTGGCATCCGAACCCTATCACCACCCCTGAGCGGGGTGAAGGGAGGCTGAGGTGCAGCCAGAGGCCAGGAGCAGGCTCGCCCACCTCGGGTCTGCCCTGAGGGCTCTTCCGGGGGCATGTGTCCCTGGGCTTCTGCACCCAGGTCCCACCCAGCCATCAGCTGTGGTCCTGCGGTGGAGCTGTCTGCCCATAACTTCGCCTCAGCTGTGGAGGGCAGCCTTGCCTTACACAGTGTTCCTGGGGCGGCTGTTGGAACTGAGCAGAGCGGATTCACCTTCATTTACTGAAGGATGGGCTCCGTTTGGTACACCAGAAAGGTATGGGCGTGGCTAGGCCCTCTCAGGAACACGCAGCCCCAGGGCGGCATCAGCACTGGTGATCTCACCCACAGAGGGCAGACCCAAGGGCTGAAGGCCCCAGAATTGCCCGTGCTCCTTTGCGCTTCCAGTGCTCATGGAGCCTGCTCTATGCTGGGCTCTGTCCTGGTGGCAGGGCTGTGGCAGGGACCACTGAGGCAAACTCCTGCCTCCTGGAGCTCGCATTCCAGGGGAAGCCTGGCCACAGCAAGATAGCCCAGCAGTCAGCTGTGGGGCCGAGGGCAGTGAGGGCAGCTGAGACGGACACGTGTGGAGTGGTGGTGAGAAGGGCTGGGGGGAGCGGAGAGACTGCTGTGCGGAGTTCTGCAGGGCAGGCCTGAGCCGCAGGGGCTGAGAGGGGCACGTCTAGGGCCAAGCAAAGGCCCTGGGGTGGGCTGGGGTGTGTGCAAGGCCAGGGTAGCTGGAGAGGAAGGAGCAAGGGGAGGGGCTGGGCTGCGCCAGGGTGGGGTCCACCTGGCCGACGGTGCCTTGGATTGGTAAGGGCTTCAGCTTTTATCTGCTTTTACTGGGAGTGAGGGGGTTGTGAGCTGGCCCGGACTTAGATTTTGTCAGGATCACTGCTGTGATGAGACTAGGCAGGAGGGGGCGGCGGGGCGGGGGAGCCCCGACCCCAGGAAGGCGTCTCTTCACCAGTCTGAGTGAGCCGAGTGGCTGGCTCACAGCAGGCGTCTGCTGGCAGGACTCGCCGTCACTGTGACCTGGAAACCTCGCCGCTGAGCAGGCACGTGGGGCTGCTGTGACCATTTCACAGATGAGAAAATTGAGGAAGAGAGGACACAAGGGTTGGTCTAGGGCTGGCAGAGTTGGTGACTTTTGACTTGGTGCAAACCCGTCTGCATCGAGGCGCAGGTGCATGCACGTGTGTGTGTATGGGGACGGGCCGCACACCCCCTGCCTAGAGCACTGGGGAAGGAGCCTGTGACATCTTGAGGCCCCCTGCGGTATGGCTGGAGCCCAGGATGGGCTTCCCTGATGCCGCTCTGTTCCACCCCAGCTCCCTGGAGACGCTACTGGGGGCTCACAACAGCTGGGCGTCCCTGCGCCGCTGTACGCCCTCAGGGCCTCGGCATCAGCATTTGGCTAATTTACCAAGTCCTACCACGCCTTCCGCTCTAAGGGCATTTGGTGTGGGAGACCTGAAGGAAACAGCAGCAGAGAGTGGTTAAGATACTCTGGGAAAGTGAATCCGCCTTAATAGACCTGGAAATCACAGTGTAACTGAAGAGAAAGACCTGCAAAAATACAACAATGAAAACGCATTTTAAGGGGCCAGCTGGAAAAACCGAGAAAAGGCAGATGTGTCATGGAGGCATGTGCCTGGGAAGCCCCTTCCCCTCTGTGCATGTACCCGGTGGGTCCCTCCCACAGGGCACCCTCCGTCCTGCGGAGGACGGGGAGGTGGGGTCTCCCTGGTTAGGGATGAGAACACTGAACCAAGGCCACAGAGTGGTGGGGTCAGGACTTGCACGTGGACTCTTGTATGTTGCAGGTATGAGGACAGAGCATAGCCCCTGAGCCTGCTGCTCCCTCCGCTACTGGCTGTGTGGCCTTGGGCAAGTTACTTGACCTCTCTGGCTTCAGCGTCCTCTGCTGGGGAATAGAATAAGAAGAGTCCCTGTCTCTCGGTGGCTATGTAATGTCCGCGAGTGAAGCCAGCACAGCTCCTGGAGCCGTGCCCAGCAGGCTGGCAGCCCCGTCCGGTGGCCAGGGACCATTGTCCTGGGCCCTGTGGTGCCTGGCACTTGGGTATGCTTGGGAAGCTTTTCCAGGCCCGCTTCTCGTTGTAAGGAATGGGATTTGAATTTCATCCCTGGAGGTCATGGAAAGTGAAAGGGGGAGGAGCATGGACAGTGCTGGCCGTCCCCGATGTGCCCTCCTGGGCTCAGGGCTCACTGTCCCCACATTGAAGGCAGCTGTCCCCACGGACTGCTCTTCCCCACTTTCCAGGAGAGCCTGAATTTGTATAAATTATTCACACACACGCACCCAAAAGAGAACATAACTGGATGTATTTATATCTGGTTTGAAGTTTCTAACAACACATCACTTCTAAGAAAAGCCCTAAGGGGGAAAAAAAAAAGCCAGACAGCCAAACCCTTCTCGCCGCTCCCCCAGCCCCTCTGCACCCCGGTGTGGCTGAGAAATCACGAGGGGCAGCGTGTATGGGTGTTCCGTGGCGTCCCAGGCCTCCACCTTACGACCGCATCTGGAGAATGCCCAGCGTGTGTCTGGCTGAAGGTGTGGGTACCTGCCCAGCTCTGGCAGCCCGGCGGGACCCCTCTCCCTCCTCCCAGGCAGAGGCGTTCCTCCCTGCGGAGCGGTCACCTGCCTCTGGGACATCCACGCTCAACGTCGGTCTTGATGTCCCATCTGTGCTGGGATGGGTCTCCCAGACTTCTAGGCCCGATAGGGCCTGCTGCTCTTCTTCTGGGCTGGCTCCTCCTCTCCCACAGCGGGGCAGCTACAGGGCCCTCCCCTGAAAAGCCTTTTCCAGCCTGGAACAGCAGCTGTGGAGTCGTTTGGATGGACTCCTTAAGCCGCAGTCTCCGTGCTGAGTGGCGGTGCTGCCATCAGCAATAGCAGGCCCATCCCTTCCTCCTCCTGCCTCTCTGCCTTTAGTCCCCAAGGCAGCCACCCTGCAAAGACAGTTGCAGAGCGCCTCCTGTGCTCTGGGCTTGGCACCAGTGCCAGGCACATGGGATGGAGGTGACTGAGGCCCTGCCACAGGCCTCCACAGCTTTGGTGGCAGACGAGTGAGTGGAGGGGTCAGAGGGCCCCTGTGGGGGTGCGGCAGGGCCGTGCCCAGGACCTGGGTGGGCAGCGGGGCCTGTGGGGTCATCATGGGCAACCATCTAGTAGGGACACATTCAGTCAGTGGGTCTGTGGGAGCAGCTGGTACCCAGGCCTGAGGGGTGGGTGGGGAAGAGGATGTGGAGACACCCTGCCCTGACCACCCCCTGCAGGTAGCTCTGGGGTGGGGGCAGGTGGGCTGAGCTGGGTCACCTGGCAGGTGTGGCGCTTGCCCCCTCCCGGCCTCTCACAGGTGACCTCTTGGGGGATTTCAGGTCATGGCACACACACTTGTCAGCAGGTATCCCCCCCGACTCTTGGCCAAGCTAGAGGAGGGTGGGGACACCTCCCAGCAGGCAGAGGGAGAGCCTCTGGGGCTGCTCCTGGAGAGGGCGGGTGGTCTCGGGGGAAGAGGCAGGTACCGAGGCTGACAGCTTCGGGCCCGTGTTTCGAAGTCTGGTGCACAGCTGCCTTCCCATGGCCTATCCGGTGGCCGGGCACCACTGCCACCCCTTGCTGGCAGAATCTTTTGTGTGGCTACCCAGCAGGCCCAGGCTTGCCCAGCCAACAGGGACCACTATTGAGGCATCCAGAAACTCAGGCCAAGTGTACCTGTGTTCGTGGGTGGTGGCCCAGGCCTGCGACGGTTACTTAAGAGTTCAGGTGTGGCCTCTTGGAAAACAGCACCCCCTCACATCCCGTCCATCCAGGCCTGCCGTATCTCTTGCTCAAGAGGAGAATTAACACATGGGCCTCACATGAAATGCCAGCTTCCACCCCCGGACCCATGCGTGCAGCTCCCGGATGTGTGAGCCCCTCCTGTGCGTGGGCGCTGGGCCAGGTGCAAGGACACTGCAGGGTCATGGCCAGGGGCTCTCCTGGAGGGGGGACAGTGTCTTAGGGGGACCGCACAGCATGAGCAGAAGCCACAGGGGCACTTAACCCAGCTGGAAGCCCTGGAAGCCCCTGGAGGCTTTTTGCCGGGCAGGGGGCACTGAGGCGAGGTGGGGGCATTGGGGCAAGGTGGTGGCTGTTGTGACAGCTCTGGGACCTGCGTCTTCCCCGAGAATAAAAACACAGCACACATCATTTGGAGAACGCCGGTGGTTTACACAGCACTTGCATAGCCAGACTCTCCTGGGTGCCCTTCTGGGCCCCTAAGATGGGCTTTCTGGTCCTAGCAGACTCTTCAGGGGAAGGGGCTCTAGGACTTGTGTGAATTGTATCAACATCCTCACAAGGCAGGTATGATCATCCCCATTGTACAGATTAGAAAACTGAGGCTCGGACAGCTGGAGGGCCGTGCTCACTGTCTTGTCTTTGCCCTTGCTCTTCACACCCCCGTGGCCACCCCAGGCTCCTCCGGCTTTTCCTGGGGGCTTCTGCCTGGCACGTTTTGCTCTCCTGATTTTGAGCACACCCCAAGACTTTCCTTCTTTTCATTGCCAGGGCAGCTGAGGGTCTGGGCTACAAGGAGAGAGAGGGACCCTGCGGCAGCTAAGACATGGTGGGGGAGGGGGACTGCTCTGAAGCCCAGCAGCCTGTGGAGAATGTGGCCAAAGCCCCATACCTGTCCCCAGTAATGTACAGAGACACGCGCCTCTTGCACACACCCTTGGAAGCTACCCCCAGGGACTCCAGGTTGAGAATTTCTGGCCTGAGTGAGACCCAGACTCCCACCCCCAGCTGTTGTTAAGAGGTAACAGCCCCAGTAGTGACTGGACCTCCACGCCTCCATCTGTCCCTGCCTCTGCTCACCCAGCCATGACCGCAGCCGTGCTCACAGACAGGCGTCCATCCAGCAGAAGGTAAAGGGGCCCCAAAGCTATGGCCAGATTCTCACGGGACCATCAGCAATATCACAGCCTTGGAGATGAAGGGGCAGCCTTGGCTACGTGGGGAAGCGGGTCACACGAGTTTGTTCCAGTCTAGTAAAGATGCTTTCGCAGGCAAAGCCGTGCAGCACAGTTAAGAGAGAGGCCTTCGGGGTCAGGAATGCCTGGCTTTGAACTTCAGCTCTGCTCCTTCTCAGCCTCCCTCCTTGGAGCCTCAGTTTCTCATTTGTGAAATGGGGACAGGGGAAGCACCCACCTCTTGGGGATCCTGTGGGATACAGGAGCCTCCTGGGCCTCACTAGCAGGCTCTGGCGGCCACGGTCATGCATGTTCCCCGGTGTGGAGGGGCGTCTCTTCCCATACGTGCTTCTGACAGTGGTCCACGGCATTGCACAGCTTGGCAGCCTCCTGGCTCCTGCACCAGAAGCTCGGGCCCAAGGCACACTGGTCAGTGCCCAGAATTGGGGTCCTGGGGCCGTGGCAGGCCCCCACCTTTTTGCACACGGCCACAGGGTCCATCATGTCCATGAGACTCTCAATGAGCACGGGCTCGTACTGGGTGACGAAGTGCTTGCACTGGATCATGTAGGGTAGCGGCAGGAGGCTGCAGCCGCCCTTGAAGGCCATCAGGATGTCGCGCTTGGTGCTCTTGCTCTCTAGGTTGTTGGAGGACACCGTGAGCAGCCTCTTACACCCGTTGCAGAAGCTGCCTTGGTTCTCTGCGTCCCACTCTGGGGATGGCACGACTACATGGGCTTCATGGACTGCCCGCGCCCGCCTCTGGTTGCCACACAGCCGGATGAACTTGCACACCTTCTCTGGGGTGATTTTGGCCACAAGCTGCACCAAAGGGGGGCTGTAGGTGTCCACCAAGATGACACACTCCTTCCTGATGGAGGCGGGCATTACTGTGCACACGCGCTCCAGGGCGTGGGTGATCATGAGCTCAGAGCTGTTGGACATGAGCCAGCTGTCCAGCTTCTGCACCACGCTCATGCACACCTCACAGGTCACGCCGGCCTGCATGTGCATCTCACTCTGTTTCCTCGGCAACCCTAGTTCCAGCGAGGGGACCCTGTCCACAGCCACTACTTGAGTCAAGCGGGCAGGAGCCACTAGCTCCTCACAGAATCCCCCCTTCTCGCAGACCTCCCTCGGCGGGAGCAGCCTCAGTGCTTGCTCAGCAGGGACAAAAAACTGGTGGAGGTAGTTCCTGCAGAGGACAGCCAGGCCAGGCCCCACGGACTCACACTGCTCCTCCAAGTTCAAGTCAGCCAAGGTCACGTTGGCCCGGACAGCATCCTGGAGTCGGGAGACCTGCCGTACACAGTCTTGGCACAGAGCTCCTTCAGGCATCTGCGGAGGGTGGAAGCTAAGGGGCCCATCGGCCATGAACGGAGCCATAGCCTTGGAGGTGTCCTCTTTGGAGAGCAGCCCCCGGGTGGCCAGGTGCCTCTGCAGCGGCTCACAGAGGCTGAGCGCGGTGCACACCTGTGCTGGGGCGCTGTCCGGGGCCCCGCGGAGCATGCTCAGGACGGCTAGACGGTGGGTGTCCACCATCCAAATGCATCTGGCTGAAGACTCCTGGCTGGGAAGCCACTCACATGCCTTCATCACCAAAGTCAGCTTGTCAGACTCCGTGGCGTCAGGGTTCAGCCCGTTGCCTGCGGCGGCTGCTATGTCCTGGCATAGGTCACAGGGCAGAGATTTCATGGTGGGCTTGTTCCATACGGCCCCTTGGCAGTATGCCACGGCCCCACACCTGGCAGCTGCCTGCAGATCCTGACACCATACCGCCGAGCCCTTGGCACACCCCTGGGGGCCTGAGGTGGGGCTGGCCATGGCGGCCCCCAGGAGGCTGGGCAGGAGGAGCAGGGCACACAGCATGCTGCCCCAGGGACTCTCTGGCTCCAGAGCACCCAGCAGCGGCTGCTGCTATAAACCCGGCTCTCCTGCCTGGCCCAGGGGGAGGCGCAGACAGGCAGCCCCACCTCCTGGCCACTCCTGCTGCCTGACTCACACCCTGCGCCTTGGGGTTCCCGGCCTGTTCGGCTTCGCTCTTACAGTGCCAGGAACACCATCCCTCCCCTCTTCTCCCTTGTATAAGATAAACTCTTACCAGCTTTCTGAGCCTAGCTGATATGTGAATGAAGCTCGGCTCTTAGGCCCTTTCCCCAGGAAGCCTTCCTGGCATTCCCCCCCCCCCCCCCCCCCCCCCCCCCCCCCCCCTCCCCCACCTACGGCCCCCACCCTCCCCTGGCTGCAGTAACTCCTGGGGTTCCCTTCCCCAAAGCTCGCTGTCCTCTCCTGACTTGTTTGTGTGGCCTGGGTCCTCTCCTGGAGTGTGAGACCCCAGAGGAGTCCCTGCCCCCATTCTGGGAAACACAGAAAGGCTTCCTCTGCTTCATTTGCCAGACGATTGAATGAACCCAGTGACTGGCCACCCCCTGGATGCTGCTGTTTTCTAACTGGGCCTCGGGATCATGTGCCCGGCTGGGGTTCCACCCTTGGCTGTAGCACCCACTGGTGATGCCTTTCAGGGATTTTGTCTTGTTGAGCTTCGGGTCTTCATCTGCGAAGTGTGGGAACCGTGGACCTCACCACTACGCCGCCATAGCCACTCGCAAACCCAGCTCCTGAGCCCAGCCAGCTTCTTCGTTCTGGAAATGTCAATCAAAGGCTGGGTGTGGCTGGTCCATAGTAAGCATGCATTCCATGTTTGTTGAAGGTACACACACAAAAGGCGTTTGTTTTCACTTCTGTGTCATCTGTTATCTTTTTCTTCTTCCTTCGTTTTAAAAAGTTCTTGGGCAAGAGAGTCCGCTGGGTGAGCACACACAGGCACCGTGATTCGGGTCCTGTTCATTGAATGGAGAATTCTAGAGTCAGCCTCGCCTCTGGCCTAATTGCCACACAGCCAAGGAGTGGGCAGGCCAGAGGCTTGTTGGCAGGGGGCTCCCATGGCCCTGCATGTGGGTGTCCTCAGCTCAGCTTCCTGGGCCTGGGTGCTCGCTAGGAACATGCTTCCCAGTTATGTGGGTCAGTCAGCCTGCCCTGAAATTGCAACAGCCACACATGAGGAATGTAATAGGGCAGAGCGTGTCCCATCAGCCCTCCTGCTGGGGGTAGGGATCACGAAGAGAAGATGGAAAAGGGGGTTTGCTGAGTTCTTGCAGTGACTTCCGAGGACTCTGGTTGCCGGGGACTAGTGGAGGGGACAGTCTTAGGGAACAGGTGAGCCTGGGCGTGCTCAGCTGCAGGGTGGCAGCTGGCCAGCACCTCCAGGTCATACCCCAGGTGGGGCTGGAGACATGGGTGTCCTTATCTAGACTTGGCTCCGGCAAGTGCGTGCTGATGCATTTCTGCAGGTTCGTGATGTGCCTGCCATTCATTCAGTCCCTCGCCTCTGGAGTCAGACATTTCCGGGGCACCCACTTGCATCCTACCAGGACTTTGGGCACCAGGCTGAAGCAAACAGAAGGCCCTGCCCCTCAGTGTGAACAGGGCTGCATGCCAGACTTCCTGCGCGTCCCTCAAGACCCCGCCCCCACGGCGATGCCTTGATCTCTTGCACTGAGGGGCTGTGACCCAGGAGGCCAGAATGTCCTCCTCATGCTCACATCCCTGGAGCCTAGCACAACGCCCCACAAGGACGTGCCAGCATTGTCTTTGTAAGTTGGTCCGTGCTGCTGTGTTTAGTGGTAGAGCCGACATTCTCATTTCTGGGTGGAATTCCACTGGGCAGGTGGAATGCACCACTGGGTCCTGGGCGTATATGAATTAGGTCAGTACACCACGATGTATTTATCTACTCTACCGCTGATGGGCCTTTGGGCCGATTCCACTTTGGAGCTAGTAGGAGTGGCGGTGCCCCGAAGGCTCCCGTGTGTGCCTCGGGATGCACACGTCTTCTCTGTAGGGTTTTAAGGAGGAGTGGTGCTGATGGTGCATGCGTAGTGTGTGTGTGGAGCAGATTCTGCTGGATATCTGCTCCAAAGTGGTTGTGCCCGTTCCCACTCCCCTCAGCAGCATTTGAGGAATTCCGATTGCTCCATGTCTGTTTTGTTTCGGGGGGTGGGGTGTTTTGCGACACCAACGACGGATTCTTACAGACGCCAACTGGGTGCCCTATAATTCATTTCAGTTCTGACTCCAACAACCTGGAGTTAGCTCAGGCCCCACAGGTTAAGGGCTCAGCCCTTACTTTAGACACTAATGATCACAAGTCCAAGGTCGCCGCCCACACTTCTGACGAAGTGGTTCTAAACCGGGGGTGCTGTGACCCCATCCTCAGGCTTGACAATTCCCTGGGTTGGCTCACAGAACAGGAGGCCCTTTGCTTACCTTTCTTATTTATCCTGAAAGCTATGACTCAGGAACTCACGCACAAGGCGAGGACTAGGGGCCAGGGTGCCCAGCTCCCACGCCCTCTGAGGGTGCCACCCTCCCCACGCCTCAACCCGGAAGCTCATCAAACCTCATTGTCAAAGAGTTTCTCTAGAATTTAATCTCCAGCACCCACCACCCCTTCCCAGAGACCAGGGGGTGGGGCCGGAAGTTCCAGTCCTCGAATGGCTTGGCCTTTCTGGTGACCAGCCCCAGCAGAGACCAACTACGGGCCCCACCCTAGGTCACCTCATTAGCATAAATTCATGTGTGATCAGAGGGGCTCGTTATGAATAACAAAATACACTTCAGTCACTCAGCAAATTCCAAGGGTTGGAGCTCCATGCCAGAAAGTGGGACAAAACCAAACATATTTCTTTTTATACCGTGGGGGGTGATGTTGGATCAGAGGATGTTTGCACGAATGGTGCAAGGCACTCCGAGCACCTTTGCCCAGCACACCTGCCCACTTGCTTCCAGGTTCTCTCTGCCCCTCCCTCCTTTCCTCTCACCTGTCTGTCCGCCTACCTAGCCACCTACCTGTCTGTCCACACACACGTACGCATTTGCACATAATTTCTTCATAACCTTGGAGCGCAGGTGGAGACAGACATTGTGTCTCTTTACCCCACTTACTTCGTGCCTATTTCCTGAGGACCAGGATATTCTCTCATAACCACAGTGCATTTACGGAAATAAAGAATTGTAGTGTGGATACGATACTAGAATTTAGCTCACAGCCCAGCTCAGCTTCACCAGCAGCCCCAGTGCTGCCCCATGTGGCACTGATTTCCCAGGTCAAGCCCCAGTCCAGGCTCACACGATGCAATTCCTGGTCGTGGCGCCTCAGTGGCCTTCCAGCGGGAGCTGATGGTAGACTTGTGTTGTCTTTTGTGGCACGGGGGAACTGGCTGGTTATTTTGTAGAATGCCCCTCCGTGCAGGTCTGGCTGGGCTTTCCTCATGACCAGGCCCAGGTCATGTATCGTATGGAGAGGCATTGATGATTTATCATACCATCGGTTACCAAGCTCAGACCCAGGTCGTGCATCGTATGGGGAGGCATTGTTGATTTATCAGCATTCATGATCCTTTATCACTAGGATGAGATCTGCCAGTTCCCTTCTCTGTAAAGTTATTTCCCTCTTGTAATTAATAAGCAACATTTAGAAGGGTGTTTTGAGACTGTGTAACTATCTAGTTCCGCATCAAATGTTTACACACCTATTTGAGCACCTGCCCGGCATTTTCTAGCTCTGTCTTCCTCCCATATTGATTAGTTTGTATTCTGTGAATAAAAAAGCTTTATCTTCTCCCCTTCCTCTCTCCTTCCTTCTGTTCCCTTCTCCTCCCTCCCGCCTCTTTTCCCTTCCTTCCTCTTTCCTTTTTTCTTTTTTAAAAGAAAGACTCAGGAATTTTAACTCTAATTATTTTTTACTTTCTTATGTTTAAAAAAATTTTGTTTAATAGACTAAAACCCAACACAGCTGCCCCACCTGCTTCGAGGTTCTCACCACCCCTCCCTCCTTTCCTCTCACCTGTGTGTCCAGCTACATCGCCACCTACCCATCTGTCCACAGACGTATATATTTGCTCCTACTCTTTTCATATCATTGTTTTTGATGCTTAAATTGTCCCAGATGTGATCTGTGGGAGCCCCCTTGGGCGTCGTTCAGCACTTCTGTACTTCCCGGCACAGGACATGTTCCAGGCTCATCTTTTGCATTCCTCGAACCAGCCCTGGAATCAATCTGTTCTCCAGGGAACATGGTATTTAGAAACCAAGATCTGGATAGGAATGTGCCTACTGCTCCTGTGCTGTCATGCTTTTTAGGCCCTCTGAGTGACACCCAGCCTCTTCCTGACACGGGGTGAAAGAGGAAGGAGGGAGGGACGGTGTACACAGATAGAAATACAGAAACATTCACAGACATGGAAATAATGTATACAGATATATGATACACACACACACTTATGTGTGTATTTGTAACATATTCATCATTCATTCATCCATCCATTTTCACAAGACCACGACTTCACACTGATACCTCCAACACTCAGGGCAGTGTAACTCCCCTGCCCAACAGTGAGCGGCTTGGCTCCCATGATCTGTAACCTGTTTACCTACTACTGAACCCCAGAATGTACCAAAGCCGTTTTATAAACACCAATCCACACTGCTGTGAAATGCAAACCCTGCTAACTAGTGCACTCTCTTGCTGTACATTTCTCTTTATTCTGTTGAGATAAATTTCACATACATCTAAATGCACACATCTTCACACACCTGCAGAATGAACACCCCAATCAAGGGGCAGAATAGTCCCACGTGCTCCCTCCCAGTTACTTGTCAATGAGAGCAAACACTTTTCTGATTTTGTTCCCACTACAGATTAATTTTGCCTGTTCTTGAACCTCATGTTTTTGGCATGGAAACAGGAGGGGAAAGGATGTCCCCCATGTCTGCCTCTCCCACTTGCTGTGACGAGATCCACGCATGCTGTTCTCACGGCTGTAGGCTGTCCCTTCCCCTTGCTGGGAGTGCCTCATCCTGTGGTTTTCCCACATCTGTTTATCCA